TCTGCAGAAAGTCCAGTTGTGATAGACACGGTTCGCCACTGCTAACAAGTGACATGTAATGTAAAGTAGATGCAAATGACACTTCAGAAACTTCTGAGAGACAGTTGGCGTTGGAGAGTTTATGATGAGAAAGTGAGACAAGAGAGAACCTGGCCGAGTTATCACTGATTCCTTTATCATGTCAAGATGCTTCAGATCAATCACCATGTTTTGTGCTAAAAAGCCGTATAAATCTGACTTGTTTCTCTTCTTAACAAAGCTACAAAAACCTCTCATTATACTGAGTGCATATTCTGCTCCAAAAAACACAAATCATGAGTTTTATCTGTTCACATTTTACAGGAAGCCTCTCTCCTGCCTCTGATTCAAATGGGTTGCAGACTCACCAGGTGCTCGCCAGACACTTTTCTGATGCCCACCATCCGGACGGCGTCTGGGGGAACGGGCTGGTTGTTGAGGTCTGCGTCCATGAAGGAGCAGGGGCTGGAGGGGGGGGTCTCGTAGTTTTTGGACGCCACAGAATCATGGGTCTCAAGGAGGGACTGTGTGCAGAACAGCAGGGGAGAACAAACACAGGGGATAAGGGCTGCGAAATGGACAGGATTTTCTTGAAAACACATAAATGGATAGTGCAATATTATCAAAAATAAATCACAAGCCCTACAGATGATGACGTCGATAAATAGATAACAGTTATGATCGAGTTATTGTGACGCATCATCCAAACCAGTCTAATCCATGCTAGCACCACATGCATCATTAAGCACGAGCAGCAGTAATCAAAGGGTTGAGGCTGAGTGCCTGTTAATTAAAGCTGCCGTGTGCTGCTGGAGGACAGACCTGGAAGTGAGGCTCCTTCAGGATGCGGACCAGCTCGTCCACCGCCTGGCTGCTGTCTGTGAGCGGGTTCAGCTCGTTCAGGATGTCCTGCACCAGCTCCACGTTGTTCTCCCTCACAGCCTCCAGCTTGGGTTCCTCAAACTGCTCATGGGCCTGGGATTTAATGAATAAAAACTACGGAGTATTAGGGGTATTTATTCTACTTTCAGGGCCAGGATTCAAGGGGGTCACACTTTGTGTTCAAAAGTGGTCAGACCATGTAAAAAAAATGTATATGTTTTTGGAACGGTCGTCCACATGGGATTTTAGGATTTATATAATAGATGTATTGATGTGAGATTGATAATTATGTGCATAACTGTGCATCAAAAGAGCTATTACAGATTCAACAATGCAAACAAATTGACATTTACAGTCATCCATAGCCTTGTGTTAACCTTTGCAGACCATTTTCATAAACCTATATAAAAACACACTACAGGAAAAGGAAACCCCCAAAAGCATAATAGGGCTTCTTTAAACTAACTAAGCACTTTTGAGTCATTTTAGAATCAGTAGGCTAGTCTTGTTTTCCCTTTAAAGCTTATGTTACAATGCAAATGTGTTTTTCTATATTTACATCGTCTGCTGTGTTATTGTGGAAATAAACCATCCTTAAAGCGTTCTCATTATCTGTGTTGGGATTATATCCCCTTGGTTCCCAGTGTGAATGACACCTTTGGATTAGCTGATTGCCTTCACCATTCAGTGTTTCCCATACATTGATTTATTTGTTGCGGGCCGCCACAATTAAATATCGTCCACCACAAATGGATCTCGTAAAAAAAAAAAAAAAAGATTATTATTAGTAAAAAAAAAAATCTTTTTTTTAAATTTTCTTCTTATTTGGTGGTCTAATGGATAGTGAGGTGGGCTGATGATCGGAACGTTGCGAGTTCAAATCCTCCCTGAACACACTACTAGTGTCCCCTTGAGTCAGGCACTTAGCCCTCGTTACCTCCAGGGAGAATGTCCCTGTAATTGAATCATTGTAAGTGCTTTGGAATAAGGTTCTGCTGACAATGCCTGGAATTGTAAATGATATTTTGGAGAATAAACCCCACGAGATCCCCCCAACTCCGTGTGTTCACTCATTAACAACACCAACACAGAGCAACAAGGATCTTTCTACAGTAGCCCATGAACTCGATTATCTATCTTATTTGAGGGGGGTGGATGCATGACCAACCGAATAGGTAAAGGGCTTTGGCTTTTCTGCCGGGTGGGGGGTGGTGCGGTTGC